TTTTTTCTTTTAATCAGTTTGAGGAGCAGCAAGCATTTGAGAAGAGCCGGAAGTTCCTCAGGCAGCTGGAGATCTGCTTTGCTGAAAATCCTGCCCACCATCAAAAGATCATCAAAGTTCTGCAGAGTTCTGTGGACTGCCTCCCCCAGGAGATTGCAGAGGTAAGGAGGCATCCACGAATCTTTCTCTAAATCCCTGAGAAGCAATCAGATATCCTCCTTCTCAGTCTCCACGCGCAGCATTTTGTAGGGATATTTCTTTGCTAATTTGATATCTGCATATGGAATGATCTCAAAATATTCTTGAGCTAATACCAACACGACATAAACTTCCACACTGGAGTTGTAATAAGCCTTGATATTCTGCCTGCCCTGAGAAATCCTGCTCAGAAGAATGTGATGGCGTGGAACGAAACACTCATTTTCTCTGGATTTCTCTCTTTCAGCTGAAAACCCAAATGTGGCAACTGCTGAAAGGACACGACCACCTGCAGGATGAGTTCTCTGTGTTCTTTGACCATTTACGACCCTCAGCCAGCCGCATGGGGGATTTTGAGGAAATCAACTGGACAGAAGAGAAGGAATACGAGGTGCAGTGATGTTTTCTGGTCCTCATAGGACCAGGAAAGATAAGAAAATATAATAAAAATTGAACCTGAAAGGCTCCAATCATGGCTGCGTTTCCAGAGCAATGGAGGCAGCAGGATGGGATAGCTGTTGGGGTGGAGCAAACCTTTAAAACCTCTTTCTACAGCATTTGTCTCTTCTAACACAACTGGGCTGGTGGGGCACTGGAAGTGATCTCAGTATTTAGAAATTCACAGGGAAAATGAAGTTTGGTCTTTTGGAGAGCTGTGGTGATAGAGCAGTTCTTTTTGTTGTTGTTGTTTTCTTTTAGTTTGATGGCTTTGAAGAGGTGTCTTTGCCAGATGTAGAAGAAGAGGATGAACCACCCAAGATTCATTCAGCCCCCAAAAATAAGAAACGTAAAGAAATTGGAGGCCAGAACAACGACAAGGTGGGCCTGGGGCATCTCATTAGTCCTTGAATTTGGACTCTAGGCAAATGCATGTCCACAAAAATAAGTGTGTCTGTATAAAGAGCCTGAGAAGATCTGCCATCTGTGTGCAGTGCACACTGATCAGCTGCAGTCTGTCTGTTTGCAGGAGGCTGAGTGGGGAGATGGGATGAAGGAATGCTCGTGTTCCTGCCATGAAGGGAGTGGTGAACTCAAGCTGAAGAAAAGCAAAAGGAGGAGCTGCAGCCATTGTAGCAGTAAGGTGAGGTGAAGCTTTTGGTGTGGTGGGTGCAGGGGATAGTTCTGCCATGAGCCTCACTGAGAGCTTTTCAGACACAGGTCTACTGTCTCTGAAGTACCACGTGTTGGGGAAGAGAGTACAGATAACCAGTCCTGCCTTCCTCTTCAGTGTTTTGTCTGCCCTTCCTGGCCTTCTCTGGTCTATCTCCTAATGGAAGAGATTTGGCTTCCTAGATGCAAACATACTGTCAAACTGAAGCCTTAGTTAGGATCAAGTAATGCTTTGGAAGCAAAGGCTGAGGTGTTGCGTCTGGTTGGATCCAACACATCTGTAATTTAATGCCTATTCACTGATTTGCAGGTGTGTGAAAACAAATTTTATAAAAATAAAGATTCTCAAGAGCTGAGTGCCAGCATTGCTCAGCAAGAATCGAGTCCTCAGCCTGAAGGGAAAGATTCTGGAACATCGAAGGAACCTGCAGAAGAAAACTTGGAGAACAGAGATGAGGGGGAGGATGTCCAGAGCAGAACAAAAACTGTATTGAGGAAAGGGGATCTTCTGCCTGCAGGTATGTGAATGTCCTGTATACAGATGCTTATTAGCATTTATCCCTAAACCCTTTTCCACAGATGAAAACAAGCATGGAACTTCCTAATGGAGATCTATTGAGATGCTTTAAATGCAATATATCCAAAGCATTCACTTCAAAAAAAGCTTTCCAGACTGGAAATATTGTCCCTTTTTTTAAATTTATTGATACATTTAAGCTTGTTGCCAACGTATTAACTCTATTCCCAGCACCACCACTCCATTATACTGCTTTTTTTTTTTTCCCAGTTTTGATATTAGCACAATAATTCAAAATCAGTCTCCTTAATCCTCCTTTAAATAATCTCCATCACGTTACTCCTTCAGTCCAGCACAGAGAAGGGGAAACAAAATTACTGCAGGATAAACAAACTGAAAGGGATCTCTGGGAGTCTATTCAAAGCTTATGGGGTTTATATAATATATATATTATATACAAATACAAGGGGTCAAATACAGGGGTTTAAATTTACTACGTGGTTTTGTGAATGGGGCACTGAAAGCATCAACACCTGTTTCACCTGAGAACTTTGTTCTGGGCAGAGCACTTAAGGTTTTCTATGTGCTCATTTCCCCCACACAGCAGTAGTTGTAGCATCTCACAGTACTGAAGGAAATGGACTGCAGAGTGCTTTCTTGGAAGTGCAATATGAGTAAAGTGCAGCTGCATTACAAACTGCTCCCAGACTGCTCTCATTTATTGCTTTATCCTCTAGAATCCAAAAGCCTCTTTAAAATAAATACGTGAAACCTCCAGAAGCTTTTTCATACAGGAACTGAGCTCAGGTTGTTTGGGTTTCTTACCAGGATCTCACCCAGAAGGAAGAGCAGCCTGCAGCAGACACACATCTCCAGACAAAGCTGCATTGCCTGAACGCCGGGTCCAGGAAGGAGCTGTGAGTGCTTCTGTGAGTGCTGCCAAGGACAGTCACTCTTTCATTGCTGCACCCGGATGGACACGAGTGCAGAAAGCTGCCCCAAAACTACCTCAAGAAACCAAAGGCAGCCCTCGCAGTGCAGGGAGTGGCAGTGAAGGACTGAAGCAGCAGCAGCAAGGAGATGTGGATGCTTCCCTTGAGCTGAGCAGAGATCTGCTCTTGTCATCTCGTTCTGCTACACTGAAAGGCTCCGTGCGACCCGACTCCTCCAAAAACAGTTTGTGTCAGACTGAAGGGCTTCCCTCAGATCCATCAGATAAGTTTGGTCATTCTTCAAAATTAAGTGCAAGAGAATTTGAGGGACCACCTTTGGCTCTGGAAGGAAAATCTGAAGCAAAGCAGAGTTGGATAACTTCAGCTAGAAAACCAGCACTGGGTAAGAGCTGCTGCTCACCGTCCCCCAGTAATTGTGCTTTGGAAGCAGATAAAATGGGCTGCACTGGAAGTGTTCCTGAGAACAGATTAAAGTCAAATGCAAACAACTGCTTCCAGGTGCACCAGCATTCTGAGGAGCTGGAATATAGAGTGTGCACTGCCTCCCTGGGGCAAAAGGAAGAGGAGCAGCAACAGCAGCGAGTCACGGAAGCAACTGTGTGTGCCAAGAACAGCAAAGTCAGCTCTACTGGGGAGAAGGTTGTTCTCTGGACCAGGTACATCTGCTTACACTGTATCTTACATCCTCAGTGTGCTCAGTGTTTGGATTTACCCCTGGTATTTTGAGAGAGTTCTTTATTTTCATCCCCTTTTCCTATTTTCTAATGTCTTCTGCTCCCCTCTCCCCCCTTTGATTATCCTTGTCTTGTTTCCTCTGACCACAGTCTACCATAGCTGCTGCTTTGCTCCTGTCAGGAGCACTGCCTCTGCTTGTGGCAGTGTAATTGCTGCAGTGCTCCAAGCTGGTGGGGAAGGGAAAAAAATCCACACCTTTTTCCCTACAAAAAGATAAAAACAGGGTAACAGCAGTTCTGCCCAGAGAGATTTCCTCTGAGTGTTCCTAGTGAAAGAACAGGTCTGCTGTGTTGTGTTGAGGTTGTGAAGTTTGATCTTGGGAACGGAACTCTTAGTTTTGTGTTGGCAGCAGTATTGTTAGCTCATGGTTTTGGCTGTTCTGATAACCATCCTGCTGCTTCACAGGGAGGCAGACAGAGTCATCCTCACCACCTGCCAGGAGAAAGGAGCCCACCTGGAAACTTTCCAGGCCATCTCACAGAAATTGGGCAACAAGACAGCTGCTGAGGTAAGGGTGGTGTGGAAATGCTGTGTTTGTTGAACAGGGAAAGGGGTTGGGAAGGAAGGAGGGGTGTGGAGCTGCTGTTGTACGTGCAGCCCAAACTTAATTCTCAATATGATGCTGCATCAGAGAATAAGAATCCTCAACAGAGCAACTCTATGCTCTCATTTGAATTTGCCTTTAGGATTGAGTCTGGTATAAAATCTCATCGTATTTTTATGCTTAAAAAAATACAAATAAAGCCTGACCTTTCATAACAAGATATTTCTACTTGAAACTCCTCTTTCCTCTCACCTTTGAGGCCCCTGCTCAGTTTGGCTTTCCCTTCTCCCTCAGGTATCCCACAGGTTCAGGGAACTGATGAAGCTGTTCCACACCTCCTGCGATGGGAGCTCAGAAGATGAGGAGGATGCAACAAGCACCAGCAATGCAGACCAGCTGTCAGACAAAGACCTCCTGCTTTCTGAGGAGGAACCCGACGACTGAGGCTTTCCTGACTGCAGCAGGAGAGCTGTTTGCTGCAGCTAACAGAGGAAAAATGCTTCTGCAGGTACTTGGTGGCACCTTTCTTTTGGTTCGTTTGAATTTCTGCCAAGCAGCACTTTTCCATCTGCATTGAACTAAGGGAACAAAGAGGAATATCCTCCTTTAGAATCAGTGTGAGTCACTTCAGAAGCAGGATGACAGAAGTGATGGTTCTGTCTGCAGTAAAGATTTGGACTGTTCTACCTTTGCATGTAAATACTGTATCATAAGATGTCTGTTTTCATGTGGAACACAAGACTTTTTGTAAATTTTTTTCCCTTGTGTTGATTGTATATGGGAAAGTTAACAATTCAGATGGTATTTATTGTGTGGTCTTACACTAAAGCACATGAGTTGGGTGCAGTCAAGAAAAGCAGCTTTCCTCCTTGAACACAAGTGCAAGTAGACTGCACAACTCGAGCCAGCCTTTTAATAGTCTAAAATAAAAAGGAAGTCGCAGTTGGGAATGGCTCTGAAAATGGCCCTTTATTTTGAAAGCAATCTCAAGAATCTCCTTCCTTCCTCTATCTCCTGTAATAAAGCTCCATCAGTCCGAGTCGCTTTCATCCTCAGAGTTATCACCTTCAAAACCCATTTCATAGCACTGTGACAGAGTTCTCAGCTCCTGGAAGGCCTCGTGGAAGTCGTCCTCTTCAACTCCTGCAGCAAAGAAGCTGGCACAGCGCCGAGTGCCCAACTTCTGGAGGTCCTTGCAGAGATCAGACAGGAGCGTGCGCAGAGCTGGTGAGGACTGCAGCGATGTCAGCACAGGGATGCTTTCAACAGCTTCAGGAGAAAACATTTTTATTTAAACATAGGAATCAAAACTTGGTTTCCCAGTTCTACTCCATGGTGCTGTTGATAAGCAGATGTTTTGCTTGCACTCAGTGCAGCACAGAAGTCGCTTGCTGCTCATCATTTTTTTTTACCCTGCAAACTCAGAAAAGGATCCTGTACTTTTTTTAGACCCTTCTGCCCCACAGGATTGTTTTCTACTGCAAAATAATTGCAAGGGGCAACATTACCTGCTGCAGAATAACTGGAAAGATCGTCTAGGAGGAAGCCTTGTCTGCTCAGCAGAGAAGAAAAAATGTGGGGATATGGAGGTAGAGTAACACATGGCTGCTCGAGAATGTGGGATGCACTGCCAGGAAGAAGTTGAATGAAGTTACCCCAAACTCTGTCTTCCATTTCATGTAGTGTTTCCTAAGGAGCCTCTTACCAACCTGAATGCCCCAGGAAACACAGTGTGTAAATAATACTGCAGCACCTGCTCAGCTGTCTCACAGGCATGAAGTGGAGAAGGCGGCTGCTGTCCTGGGCAGCTGCAGCAGAAAGAACAAATTCATGGTTTTCAGGGGGACATGAATGAAGATTTTGGTGACTCAGCTGCTTTTTTAACTGCTCTGCTATGTAGCTAATAGCAAATAATATCACTGGACTCTGAATCTGACTGACACTCCTGATGGACAATGACTGTAAGAGATTATTGCTAACAGAGTGCTAACAGAAGGCTTAGTTTAAGTATTCATTACCTGGTTGGGTTTTCTTTGCAAATTCCTCTTAGCACAACAGACTGAGCAAAACAGCGGCTGACCTTTTGCTCCCCACATGAGGACAGAAGCTTCCAGGGCACGTCCTGCTGGTGTGCACATAAAGCATCTGGGAGTGAGTGGCCACGCACAGCAGGGAAGGGAACAGCAGCCCACGCAGCCACAACCTGATTGAGGAGAGGTGACAAATTCAGGGTCTGCATCACCTTCCCCATCCTCCTGCCGTAGATCTGAAGGAGTTTGAGGTTGATGTGTTCACAGCTCTTACCTTTCTCCCAGAGAAATTGAGCATCTCAGCAAGGTGCATCATGGAGCCTCGAGAGGAACAGAGGCGGTACGGAACTGTGAGGGCATCGAGTGCTGCTGCCAGAACTGCACTGCTGTGATAGTTCAGGGATGCCTGCAAAAGGGGCAAATGGAAGTGTTGAAGGACAAGTTCAATTCTTCTGTTCCTTCAGTAACGTGTATAAAAATCAATGAACTTTGACATCAAATATAAAAATGATAAACCAGCAATTCAGGCTCTGCTAAGAAAGGGGAAAAGGCATTATTGTTTCTGCTGAGCAAACAGTGTCAAATACATCACTGAAACACACAGCTGCAGAGAATAACTTTTAGGGGAGATGTGGCACAGGACTTACGTCGTAGTTTAGGTAGGGGAACGTGATGGGAGGTTGGGGTTTGATTCCTAAACTGCCGCTGAGTGACAGAGGACAGAACAGGGAGCTGTGAGCAGAGAGGTGCACGATGCCAAGGGCTGTGTTCAGCACTCTGTAAAAGTTCTTCTGAGGATCCTGGGGGGGAAAAAATGAAAAAGAGATGCAGAGAAATAATGTCATTTGATTGGATAGAATAGCTTCAGCTATTCTTGTGGGTTTTTTTCCCCCTTTACTTACTCCCATGTTAGGAGTGACTGGAGTCAAGCCCCAGGTCAGGATTCCTTTTCTTGAATACTCATCGTGCAGCAGTTCTGTCACTTTGGCACCAACTCCAGAGAACCCATCGTGGAGGTCACAGAGGACCTGAAATCCCTGTGCAAAGTGAGGGCTGGGCTGTGAGCTGCTGCTTAATGCTAAAGCAGGGAAAACTAAACAGGGAGCTTGGACTTATGCTGTCCCACCTGCAGATAATCACATTCCTCAACATAGAAGTGGAGGCGATCTTCCACCTCTTCCATACAGCCAGCATCTTGCAGGAGCTTTTCTCCTTGCCCAAAGGCTTCTAGACGACCAGAATCCCTACAGAAGAAAATTAAAAAACAGGATAAGCTCTTTATTTCACACATCTGTGGGCACAAGGCTGTGGGTCTCTGTGCTCAGCCGTACCCATCGTGGTTGTATTGCTGGAGGACATAAATGCTTCTGGGGTGCAGCTGAACGCTGAGATAATCGGACCAGAGCTGCGTGCTGCTCCCTGGGGCTGGAGCTGCATCTGGAGAGAGAAGGAAGAACCAAGGAGGTCTTTTCCCCTCTCAATACCCCTTGAATGGAGAAAAGGAGAAAGAAAAGCTCCTCCTGCAGATGGCTGGGATGGTTGAAGCTCTTTGCTTCTTTTCTACCATTTTCTCTATGCGAGGAGATGTTACTCTGCGCCCTCCCTTATGCTGCTGGTTCTTCCATCTTCACCGACTGAACCAAAGCCGCAGGGACAGCGCAAACCGTGGCACACGCACCTTGAACGGAAGCGCTGGAGCTGCCGTCTCCATCAGCTGAAGCGTCTCCCTACAGAAAAACCCAGGAGGGGCGGTTATGGATGGAAACCTCACCCGTCCCACCGCGAGTCCGGAGCCCGGCAGGGAGCATCGGGCGGCACCGAACGACGGAACCCCGGGGCTGCAGCGACCGCAGCGCTTCCCCCGCCCCGTTCTTCGCCGTTCCCTCACCGGTCGCTGCTCCGTCCCGGTTCCCGGCTCCGCGTAGTTGGCCACATCCCCGCGCCTGCAAACAACGCACAGCGGCGGCGGCTGCCGGCAGCCCCGCTCCTTCCCGCACCCCCCGCTACTCACCATGCCGCCAGCGGCTCCGCTCGGACCCCGCCGCGCCCCAGCGGGCCAACACCGCCTGCAAGAGACGGCGGTCACCGGGAGCGGCGCGGTCACCGGGAGGGGGGTCCGCAGCCCCCGTACCTTTCAGCTCCAACGCGATCAGACGCGGCGTGCAGCCCTCCCGCCCGGCCCGCAGCAGCGCGGCGTGGCTCAGCTCGGTGTCCTGCGGGGGGCGGCGCTGCGGGAGGAAGGACGGAAAGAAGTGAGAGCGGATCTCTCCCAACGCCCCGCTCCCGGGAGCGGCCCCGGTCCCACCTGCAGCCCCCACCAGTGGGCGCCCACGCAGCCCGCGTAATGCCCGAGCTGCAGCGTCACCGCCTCGCCCGCCATCGCGCGCCGCCGCTCTGCCCCTTCCTCATTGGCGGCGCTACCGGAAGTACGTCACGGCCACGCCCCCTCCAGGCGCTCCGCCTATCGCATCAAACCGCCATCACCCAAATGCCCCGCCCCCTCCCGAAGCCCCGCCCACTCTCCACAAAGCCCCGCCCCCAAGGACACACGTGCTGTGCAGCGCAGCGCAGCCTTTATTCACTACAGCGGCGCCGCCAGCCGCTCCAGCTGCCACGGGTTGCAGCCGCTCAGGAAGCGCAGCTCCTCTTTGCCGTCCTCCGTGCGAGCTGCAAGAGAGAGGAGGCACTGAGAGAGGCCACGGGGAGACGCCCCGTGCTGCAGCCCCCAGCCAGTGAGGCAGGCACTCACCCCTGTCGTGCTGCAGCCAGCGGCAGTGCAGGTAGTACTGGTAGCAGCTCTCGAACTCACGCTCTGTGTAGTTGGGCACGAGGATGGGGACGAAGGGATCCAGTGCATCGAACCCCTCCTGGAATTCCAAAGGGAACGAAGGTGCGTTTGAGCTCAAGGAAGAGCAGAGCATAGACTGCAGCCTTAAGGCTGAGTGCAGCTCCAAAGTGAGGTTTTGTTTCCCAACGTAAAGAAGAGGCTGTGGCTGCTCACCTTTCCCAGCAGCTCGTGGGGCAGATGGGCAGAGCTGGGCTTGAAGAGGGAACCGGTCTGGCTGAGTGTTGTCACAACAGCACCACCGTTCTGAAACAGAGGGGCAGAGCACACTGTGAAATGGGCACGGCTTCCAGACAGCATCCCATGGCAGCTCAGAGGCACCTGAGTTCCAAAATGCTGCGTTGTGGACCAGCTGTAACTATAAGGAATCCAAAAAAATTCTCCTTCCTTCAACAAAATCATCAACTGCAACATCATTACCAGTCAGTGAATCCTGTGGTCTCAAGAAGTGAGTTACAAACTACCCAAGGAAGGCATCACTGTGTATGTGAGCTGCTGTTACATCTGCTGCCAAACATCAGCCACGTGCCGACCCCAAGCAGTTGCACTGTGCTCTCCTTTACTGGAGGAACAGTGGGACAGCTGCAGCTTTACGCTTCTCAGCAGGAGCTTTAATCGACACCTGAAGTAAAGGGCCAAAACTCACCCAATTATTCATCATCATCTTCCTTAGGTTGTGCACCAACGTCAGCTCCTCTGGAGAAACCTGACAAAGAGGGGATGGTATGACTCCTTTTTATCAGCAGTTTCTGCATGGGGAATACATTCCTCTCCCCCCCCATCAGATTACTTTGGAAGTAGCATGTGTGCATCATTCAGGTGCATTCCTTCTTTGCTCCTACTTCACCCTATTCAGCCCCAGTAATGCTACAGAGAAGCACCCAAACCTTCCCTGCCATAACACTGTATCTGAATCTTTTCCCTACTGAGAGACAACTTCCTTCAGTTAAAGCTGCCTGAAGCCCAGGCTGTATTTTGCACATCCCTCCAAGCTGGCAGAGCCAAACATGCATTTCAGTATGTATGGCTTTATAGTAGGGGTTACTCCTGAACCTAAATTAAAACAATGTGTCCCTGCTGCTCTCCACACACATTCACTCTCTCTTCTTACAGGGCTTTTGTCTTCTTTCTTTAACGTTGTCCTTCCCCAGAGTGCATTGACTCCATCCACTGCCACCAGGACTTTGAATGAACCCAGACAACACTGCTGCCTGATCTCTTTCAGCACCACCCCAACCGCATCGCTGGCGTTCTTCACTCGAGTTAAGCCCTTCAAGGAGGAAAAGGAACATAACTCAGGTTGTTCTTGTTAATGCAGATTGCTGGGGCACTGTCTGCCCTTCCAAAGTTATGACAGACTTCTGAAGCAATCCTGTTTTTACAAAAGAAACGATGCAATGTTCTGATAGAAGCTGAGACAAAGCGAGGCAGCTCCTTACCTGCTCCACCACTTCTCCCAGTGGCCTGCCCTGCTCTGTGCTGTCTCGTTTGCTCCACACATATTTTTGTTGTGTTTTTATCTGTGGAAGAGAAAACAGCAATGAAACCAATGCAGTAATACAAAGGCAGCCATCCCCACAGAGGGATTTAAATTACTTCTCTTAAAAAACTGCATTCTAGCAATGGAGAGGCTTTATGTATGCAATGTGAGCGCATGCATCACTACACGAAGCTCTTCTCATCAATGGGAACGTGTAAAGTTCACCTCAAGGTGCTGACAGAACAGAAGCACACACACATGTGGTCTCAGAGAAGCGATCCTGTGGTGATGATCTCTTGTGGCTACAAACCAACAACCTGGCAGCCCCTACAAACCTCCTTTAGGAAGCTCTCATTTGTGGTTCTGAAGTTCCGGAGCCAGAAGGATGCCTGCAGGGGCTGATCGAGCCTCTCTTTGTTGTAGGAGGACTGCAAAAGCTCCTTGCAGTTCTTCACCCAAAGATGAGCTGCAAGCAAAGGAAAGCAGTTGCTATTTTGAGGCAAAATGTACAGTGTGGGTGCATCACTTATCCTCATTCTGCTGCATTTATGAGAGGAGTCTGCCAGCATTAATGGACAAAGCTCTCCTGTGAGGTGACACAGACCCATCATTTTCAGTGGCTGCCCTAAAGCTCTGTATCTTCCATATCAGAGACAGATGTGTGTATCTGACATGGCCTTACCATCCGGGATGTGCAGCACCAGCCAGCCCTGCCGTACACAGAAGTGAACCACGTGGCACAGCGTCATGGTTTTCCCAGTTCCTCTCTCACCATCTCCAACACAATCTGTCAAGGAAAGTCTCCAACAAAATGCCTCATACGTAGCATTAAGTAGCTGTAAATTGTTTGGCAAGAAGAATAAAGGAAGCACAAAGATTGTAAAAGCAAGGATGGAGTCCCATCCAGCAGCAAAGCAAGGCTGAAGAATTCCTTTTCCCCATATTCTCCCCCTCTCAAGACTTCAGGGCTGTGATTTCTATTCCCTCAGTTGTGCTGATACCACCGTTGGTGGAGCTGTGCCTACACCCAACAAGGACTGTCAGCTTTGGGAACCTCTCAGGGTGACTTTGCTGACAACAGATGGGGCAGAGGCAGCTCTGAAAGGATGAAACAGTGCTCAGCATACAGCAAAACACTGTCCTCATGTGCTCACATTCACCTGCTTGTATTTAACCCGTGTTCCACCACCAAGTCGAGTGATAAAAGATACAAATCACATATCTGACGACGGGGTGGGCAAAGTTGGAGTTTTTCAGGTATGTGAGAAGTTCTAGAGCAGGTTTTCGCACCATGATGCAGGCTTCATTGAAGGTCTTAATCTGAGAATAGGACAAGAATAAGGAGCCACGTGTCAGCACACCACAGCTCTTCCTAGCATGAGTCCATCTCTGATAGGCACCATCAAAAGCCTTTCCTGGATGGCACCAGCAGAGGGAAATCACCATTATGCCTCAGTCCATCATAACATCTTTGCTGCTGCTTGATACAATCATCTCTAAAGCACTCACACAAATGTGCTTTGATGCAGAATTACCTGCTGCTGAAAACGATGGGGCAGTCCATGTGGGAGAGCAGCCTTCACCTCCTCCAGAGGAATGCTGTAATGGTGACCCTCGTGCTGCTCACTGTGCTTGGCCTGGGGAGGCAAAGAGCAAACTGTAACACTCTGAAGTCTGACTCTCTGTTCTGCACACAGGGACCACTCAGTCAAAACAAGCATCTGTTTACTGACAGAAGAACCAGCACAGTAAAGTCAGGCAGGAATTGTGGTAGCAGAGAATTATTGCCATAGGAAGTTTCCAGGCCAACTGAGCACTTTATTATGTGATGGTGAAAGAAAATATGAGCAAAATGAGATGCATTTGTCAATGAATAAAACTTCCTATGCTTTATGGAAGTATCTAGTCCTTTACTGCTCCATTTCTCCTCCTGATCACCACTACACCTTAATAGCACTATGATCACCCTCAGAGTTGCCTGGTAGACTCAAGTGTACTTTCTTTAAGCCCATGAGTGGATAATTTCCCTGGTATCTATTACTTGAATAAGGAATGGTTTGACACAGACTACCAGCAGCTGTGTTTCTGCATGGCACTGCTCCAGAGACCAGTTTTATTCTCAGTTTCATCACCGCTGCATAACCTCAGGCAAATTCCTTCACCCTCAGCTGCCACACCTGCAAAGTGGTTCCTACCTTCACCACCGTGTTTAAGTCACTCTGAGTTCTGCTAACAGAAAGGTATATAAAAGCAAAGTCTTATTAAAAATTTAGCTTTCATCTGGTCTTCTTAATCCATTTTTAATGGGGTTTTACTGCACACACACACACAGGAGCCCAGTTGGAATGATGAGGTTTGCTGATGAAGCAACCCAGCAGCGCCGCTCTGCTCCCCACGCAGCCTGAAGTGCTGCACCTCGAGGAAATGAGCAGAGAAATGAAGAAGAGATGTTGGTTGTCACCCAACATCAGGCACGTGAAGTCAGAATGCCAAAGCCAGTTGCCCAGCAACGTGGATTGTAGGCACAGGACAGCAGAGACAATTCTTGCCATCTGGACCCTTCTGTGCAATCTATAGAGACACTCAAACCACGTGAGCGAGATCATCTGCATGCTGCTGTTTCCATAGAGACCCCTGAGGAATCAGTATTGAAAGACTCCAATTACAGAGGCAGCAGAAAAGCATCTCAAAGGCTTCTTCCATTCATTTATCCCACTTCATTTTGTGCTCGAGACGAAGAGCATCGGGCTGGAATGATGCTGCTGGAGAGCCACGCTGAACTGAGGTTATCTGGGGTGTGCTTTTCATCTCCCCCCCCCCCTCACAGCCAATTTGGGGAGGTTAGTCAGGGAAGAATAACCCTGGAGTTGAAATTAATGGTGTCTGATGACAAGCTTAGCCACATCTGAGCCCATACAATATATTAGTCTATTTCATCTGTGCAACTACAGAAAAGGAATCAATATTTGTTCCCAGGAGATTTGAGGCAGCAGAGCAGCTCTGTCTTGTTTAAATCCAGGTCTTGTTTTAAACTGCACAACCACAGCCTGCTTTCCTCTGGGCTGGGGGATCACCACTTTCCTTTCTGTGGCCCAGAAGCCATCCTAGGAAGCACTCCTGGCTCCACACATGCACACACTGTTGGAATGTGGGCACATCTCTCTGGCAGCAGCCACAGCAGGGACT